TGAGGTAATAGGTTTGCTTTAGCACAATCGTTTGTAGATTTAAATTTAATGAATGAAAAAAATAACATAGGTATTGATGCAAATGTTAGATGACAAGAGGAAAAATTAAATTAAATCGTCGGATTGGATGGGAATAACATAATATCAATCCATGATTAATCATCCGTGAGGGAAAAAAAACTACTTTACCAGTGTTGGTGAAAGATTTTATATCTAGACACGATACCTCAACACACACGAAACCTAATGTCGAAAATACATTACGGATGCTTCTCTGAAACACTATATTTGGCTTGATTTTAGTTCAAGATTCATTTACGCCGGAATGGCGGTAATAGAGTTCCTGTGTACGTTGTTTGGAAGCTCAGCGTGACTCTCCCAAGGCAGTAGATAGCCAGACAATTCAGTTCTTGCCGTTTCTTCGGATGGACATTTAGTTGTTCGGTTTCTTGGCTTCAGTGCTTCGTTATTTTATCATTGTGAAGTAAACAAGTGACAGTTTGTGAGACGGACTTTCAAGTAGTTCCTTGTAAAACAAAGAAACATTCACAGAAAAATAATTTCGATAAAGTTGCGAATTTTGAATCCAAACGACGAATACGCAGTGATTAGGAAACATCGAGAATGTACTTTTTGTACAGTTTGACTTAAGAAACGAATATTTATTATGAAGAATTATTGGAATCTCATTTTTTAACTTTAATTTGTGTAATACAAAGTTGTATATATATATTTCGTTATGCACGTAATAATAGGGAAAAACATGGTATTATTTGCAGACTATTTTCACTTTATTAGCGCTGTTTATTTTTTTTATAAGTTAAAAGACTGTTGGTGAAGAGGATGTTTTGAAAATGGTTTTATTACTTATTACGTAGTGAGTTAAAACGCGGCAGCTAACAAAATAATCCCATTTTCCCCGTCACAAACACGGAATATCGATCTCTCCTTGTTTACATTCCTCGCATCAGCGTCCTACAATCTACTCATTACATCGCTGATAAGCCTCAAGGATGCAATGCCGACGCCGCAATATTGGTTGTTATGAATGTTGAAATTAAATCTATTGCATTTATTAATATCCTGCGACGTAAAGTGTCTTAAAAATCCGCAAACAGCTTACAAAACAATTTAAAAATGTATATGTGAGAAGTTATTATAGAACGTATACCCATTTAAATCATTCCACTTTTTCCCTGATATTGAAAGAGCTCACTTGATTTCACACACTTCAATTAACTCATATTCAACAACCAATATTTGTACTGCATAATTGATAAAAAATATACATAAATGTATATGGGTTCAAGCACATAAGTTTTAATGTCGCAGTAATAGGTTTATACAAATTCTAACAATAACCCCGAAGAAAATGTATGTTACACACCGATGTATGATTAAGACCCACCGATGTACCACGACTTCCATCTATGAAGATGTTCATATGAAATCAAAGGCATGAGATATTATCAAAATATTATAGAAGTGATGAATGAAGGAAATTCTGAACACAACATCGACAAAAAGAGAGAACTGTTTATGAGCAATTGCCCACCAATAAATGATTAAACTTCCTACAATACGAAACTTCCATTCTTCACAAGGCTTGTAACGTGTTATCGATAAAGCGACCTAACAGAGATTGGTGATATAAATAATCATTTCTTTCTTACAAAACATCATTCTAAATCTTTAAGCAGTAATTTTTTGGTTGAAATGTATAGAAGATAATAATAAATAACAAATTATAAGAGAAGATTTATCGAAAATTACTAAGTAATTTATAATTCTATAAAAATGATTTTGTTTACGGAGAAATTCATGAATTTATTTTTTTCAAAGTGGTTTCATCATTATCCCATAAAAATGCAATTTAATTCTGCAATAAACCCAATTGTTTCTTCTAACACGCTATTGATTAAAGAATGTTTAAAAGAGAAACGAGTATTTCCATGGGCTTACAAATCTCAATGCCTCTGTAAAAGAATAGCATATTTCAAAGTACTTGCGAAGAGAGCATCACATCAAGAATTACACATGACATGAATTGGATCGGAGCTGACTGCTTTGAAACATGTGAGGTACGAAAATATGTAGAAGTAATACAACATCCTTTCAACAATGTATTGTGATTGAATTTCATTCACGAACGTTTTGTGAAACTTAAAAAGTTTAGGAACAATTGACCAGTAGGGTTTGACATTTCGAATCTATTTTATATTTTAATATAACATAAAATTTATTTTATCGATTGTCACTATACTTGGTAGTATTAATTTTGTTCACCCGCAAACAAGAAAGAACGAAAGACAGAAATGCAAGAAATATCGACTTCTGAGCGTGATTGCATTTGGTCCTTGAAGCCGCTGATTGTCGCGTCGGCTGCGCTTGGGTTCGTTTCTGCGCGTTTTGAAGGCCCAGAAGGCACACTACGCCGTCATCCACCCGCAGTCGCGTGGGTGTGCGTCGTTATACTCTTGCATTTACTTTGCGTTGGAGCTACTATATACCTGAATCTCGTCCAGCAGGACGTTTACACCGAAGAAGCAGTTCAGGCGTTTGACATATTATCGGGATCAATCGTGCAAATTGTGGCAATTGTTCTTTTCGCAACGACAAAAGTGCGTATTTGGGATGCCTTTATAAGGCAAATACGATTCATAGACGTTCACTACTTACCTTATATTGTGAGGATTCATACGAAGAGACGGCGGCAGGTCACCTACAGAATCTTAGGAACAATTATTTTTTGTTTGTTAGAGTTGATGGTGGTTGTTATTGCATTCAGAATACCATGGTATGAGGAGTTATTATCCGATTTCATTCAGAGCTTAACGAATTTTTTGTTTTCATTACAATTTTCTTGTATTGTATTGCTGATAAGAGATAGGTACAAAGTCATAAATGAAAATATAATACAAGACAATGCATCAGATATCACCACTAATTATCGAAGCTCTTCCCGAGTAAATGGGGTGCAACTTATCGGGGAACATCGTGTTAGTTTGTGGGAGGACTGCAGTCGAAGCGACAAGTTGCTAAGTCTGCAACGAGCACATCTCTTACTGTCGGACGCCTGTAGTAAAATTAATGCAATATATGGAGTGCCCATTCTTTTGGAGCTGGCGTACCTCTGGATGGAGGTGATGATGAATGCATATTACATCACGCTGCCACTATCCAAGTAAGTACATTTTTTACACGAGTTCATTTATACCAATTTGTGTCTGAAAGATGAGTATGTTTCGATATTTTGAACCCTTATCTATTTGTAGTTTCTATGATAAATTGTGCGATTACTCACTCGTTCAGTTTTATTCATGTCAAAATATCTCCAAACATTATCACTGGGAGAAAACTTGATATTTAGATGTAGTTTAAGGAAGTCTTTAGTAAATTTTAAGTTCCATATTATATCCATTTTATATTACAATTAGGGTAACAAATTATCATATTAGATTATATTTCAGGTAACAAAATTAATTTCATTATCCAAACATTTATTAATAGAGTTTAAAATGACGTATGTTATTTTAATCTCGCCTGCCTATTAGAGTAAAAATTAATAATCTCTAAATAAAGTACAAAGTTACTCTGTACCTTCAACTAATAACATTTAAATAATATTTTCAGAGTATATTTTCTGATGCTGATATCACAATAATATCTGATTATTTCAAAGCCCACATGAGAAAGTTACCCCAAAAGTCCGCTCGTATACACCATTGGTACATCTCAATATATTTTTTTCTTCCTAGGGATTTTTCCTGCTACAGGAGATGCCGATTTGAGTATCCGCGCCAGGTTCCCACAATGTCCCTCATGGGGACTATTATTAATTTTTACACTACACACTGACACACTTGCGGGCTTCTTCGTATGTGGTCAACAGATTTACAAGGCCTTCCACGACAACACACATTCATGAAAGACAAGGGACAAACAACCGTGCCCACGGAAGGACTCAAACCCGCGACCCTTCAGACGGAGGCGTTCAGTCGGCACACACTCTAGCAAGCTCGGCCACTCAGGTCGGCAGATACACCTCAATATAAATCAGTCAAATCAATATGGAGAGCATGGTAGAAAACGAATTACATTACAAATGAATAGGATAGTATTTTGAAAAATGTATATAAATCAGTAAAAGTAGATTATTTACTTATATATTACTGATATATGTTGTATAACAATCACATGCTCTTACCCCCACCTGACGTCACCTCCATCACCAATGAAACCAACACGGGAAGGAAGGAAACTCACTCTGACGACGAGGTTTTATTACTTCCTCCAGGTACGGCGCCAAAAGCGCGGCGGCGTTGGCAGGCCTGTGCCTGAACGTGACGCGCGCGAGCCTGGCGGCGTTCGCCATCTGCTGGAGCTGCGACGCGGCGGCGCGCCACGGCCGACGCACCCACTTCCACCTGCGCCGCCTGCTGGCCTTCGCCCACGAGCCCTCTGCGCAGCTGCAGCTGCAGCTGGAGAGGTTCGCGCAGCAGCTGAGCGGAGCCCCTGAACCCTTCAGCTGCTGCGGCCTCTTCGCCGTCGACCTGCGCCTGCTGTTTGCCTTCTTCGCCTCCATGTTCGGATACCTCCTCATCATGGTGCAGATAGGCTCCAAGTAGTTCCTCCTGTAAGGTTTTTAGAGTTTACTGGTGTCGTCAATTCAACAACTTTATTATTTAATCGATTGTTCATAAATATTGATTAAGACTCTGAATTATATTGTCAGTTTTCAATAATTACAATTCGAACAATGTATTACGTCATTGCTTTGTTTTATCTTTGTGGCGGCGTACTACCACGACCTAGAAGTACCTCATAAACAAGGGCAGTGGCAAGTTGTCGTCACATAAACAACGTAAAATCTCCACCAACAAGTAGCAGTTGTGTACCGAAACAGCGTTGTTGGGGCAGCATAACTTTGAAGCATCTACGACGCCGCAGAATAACCGTAGTAGCCAGGTTATAAATTATTACAAGGCTGCATAAAAACTATGAACCATAGCAACGGTAGGTCTCTTGACTACGCGCCATTTGTGGTGAGCCTGTCCATCTCTACTAGCTAGTCTCTTAACTTTGATACTGCAGATTGATACAATGTTTTACATTATTATCTGTTGATGACAACGCCGATATCTTGTCTTTTTTGAGTTTGAAATTCCTGTACGAATAGCTGCTACTGCATTATGTTGGGTTTTTTGAATGTAATAGTGAAAAATCAATTAAACATTTTTATCCTACATACAATCTTTCAAGAAAATATGACCTCTTCCTCAAAACCACAGTTCATTTTCGATTTGTTTTAAAAATTGTACCATAGGTATTTCGAATTTTTTAACTGTACATATTGTATAAACTAAACTGAGGATCAATGTTAGTGTAATAATTGAAAAGTTAAGTTGTTTTAATTTTTATCAAATCTATTTGAAAGGTGGTGTCCATGAAAATAATTTTGAGAAAGGGAGAGACATGTTTCCTGAACATTGTTTACGTGTATAACAAGTAAGATGTCCTCGTATTTTCAATTCGTTCCAATCTGTTTAATTTTAATAATATATTGTTTATTATGAAATATTCAGTGAAAAGTAATTGTTTTGAAATTGAACATTTAAATTATATTCGTTTCTAATTAACTACACTATTTAGACAGGAAGAGTTTTCTTATTCCTCCCCCTGGGTTACACATCGAAAAGATAGAGATCAGTTGGAGTAATGATGTAGTCGCACACTTAATTGCAAAATATTACATAAATATTTATACATTGACCGTTTGCAAGCAAGTTTCCATTAAAAGTACAACTGTAGATAACATTTGAAAATTTCTGGGATATATACACGACAGTATCTGAAAATTATTCTTTCGGATGGTGTGATGTTTTGCGCTTAGAATTAAACGTCGTAAATATATTAATGCTCATAAATGCAAGAACTTCCTCCTTGCGTTTTCAAAAATAATTTCTAATTTGAGTATTTACGCATTTAAGTAGTAATATATATTCTTGAAAGAATTGGTATGTTAAATGATCTGAGAAACAGAGGCACACGAATTGTAATACAATCTTTTTCAATTCAATTTTCATTTTCATTTTCATTCATTTAAAATAAAAAGAACTGTGAAGAGATCGATCGTTCAGTCTCGTCGGCAAAAGGGCCCCCTAACCGTGAAAGGCCGCGGTTTGGTCTGATGGGAATCTCTTTGTTACACAAATTACTTTTTTTGACCGATAATCAATATTCTCCATCACAATCGATTGTAATTAATAAGGAAGAAATTACCTCTTCTTACAATGAACTCAGTTAGTTTCCTACGCATGAATGTGACATACAAAGTAGTGGAGTTTTTATAAGTTTTAAGTTAGAGTGCCTTTATATATCTTATCACAAGGCAGGGTGAACATTTATAATAAATATTACTGTAGTTCTGGTGGCTCATATGAAAACAGTACATTTGACTGACGTGAACATATATTTTATTATGAGGATGGTGGTATTTCCTTTTGATCAGAGACCTGCACAAAAATTCTTTGTTGGAGGAACATATTCATATTTCACCGTAAAATCGTTATTTTAAAACAATATTAGTTATTGTTGGAAGTTAACTTTCTTTAGTAAAGTCACTTTTAAACACAGGAGTTTAGAAATAACTAAGTTGGGTCCATTTGCTACACCTGGTGAAGAACGTACTTTCGACACGTTAAAAAGAACAAAAGAAGCGCTATCTTGCGGTAAACAAAAACGAAGTCTCGCTCACAGTTTTTACTCGAACTATTTTCACTTTCTCAAAGACGAACCCGAAATACTTGAATGGACTTATACAAATTCTAAGGGAAAATAAGAAAAGACTTAGAAGACTGTGAGTGATATTTTAATTCTAAAAAAATGTCGCGGGATTTTGTATGGGCTATGAAACCATTGCTTTTAGTGTCTCTTGCATTAGGGTTTGTTCCATTTTGCTTCAACGGATCACGCCAACTACACAGAACTCCACCAAGATTAGTGTGGACGTGCTTTGTTTTACTTCTGTTCAGCATCTTCTTCATAATTCAATTCAATGATGAGCTTTTACATAAAGAGATACGAACAGAAGACGCAGTGGAAACATTCGTCTGTTTGTCTTGCTTAATTGCACCAATGGCTTCCCTTGTTCTGTTCGTAACAAAAGTGAAAACCTGGAACGATTTATTACGTCAGATTACATATGTGGAAGATATTTTCTCATTAGATATAAGCGAAAAAAATATCCAGAGACGACGAACTTTGATGTTCAACATCCTTGGCTTATTATCTTTATGTATTTGCGAGGTTTCTTGTGATCTGTATGCATTTACTTATCATTGGTGTGTACCAATGATATATTTATTGGAAAATATAACTAATTTAATTTTAATTCTTCAGTATTTGAATTTAGCGTTGATAATCGCGGATAGATTCGAAGTCATTAATGAGTTTTTATCTGCGTATTCACCCGAAATATCGACGGCAAATACTAAATGTTTGAGTTCCGGATCTTCTAGTGGCAACATCTGGTTTGGCAGCAACCAATTCTTCCATTCTTGTCTCAAACGAAGTAAGAAGTATCATATGCACACGTTACAAGCTGCTCATTGGAATTTGTCAGATACGTGCAATAAACTCAGTTCTATATACGGCATACCTATTCTGTTCGTTCTTGCTTCTCTATGGGCAGAGGCGATAATCAACGTGTATTACCTTTTATTTCCCCGATCTCGGTAAGTTCTTGAAGTAAATCATCAGAAATAACATTGCATGCGTTAATGCGATGAGCAGGGAATGTTAAATATTGGGATGTTAGAATTATTGAATTGAATGATAGAACTCTAGAAAATAGAACAACAAAGTCATAGTATACACGTGTCTTTTTCTCGCAGGTACGGTGGCAGCAGTGTATTTATTCGTCTTGCGCTCTGCTGCACAATAGCAAGAACAGCCCTGGGAGCCCTGTGTGTGTGCTGGGGCGGCGACGCAGCGTCGAGAGCGGCACAGCACACAGGGCGCGTGCTCGGGCACCATCTTGTGCATCCCACGGCCCCCTTCCACGCAAAGCAGCTGCAGATGTTTGCCCTGCAGCTGAGCACATCGTTTGTACACTTTTCCTGTTGCGGGTTATTCAACGTGAACTTGCAGCTTCTGTTTTCATTCTACGCCACAATGTTTGGATATTTGATTATTATGGTGCAGGTGGGAAATAGCCAGTAAAGACGTAACCACTCAAGTTATTTGTGATATCTAAGATTTGAAATAATGTTGATGTGTCCTTCCCACTCTTTATTCAAAAAGTTACTTAAGCGCCTCATTGAAAGTTAAAGCTTATTCGATGCTAAGACTGTCTTACTAGTGCAGAATGCGATTATATTAAAATGTAATATTAATGTAAGAATGTACGCCAAGTGTTTGCTTTATGGTTGAAATGGAGAACTGCTTATTTGCCAATTGAAAAAAGCAAGTATAGCAAGTGTTATTTTAAGCAAACTTTTGGAGTGTGTGCATGTAAGTGAAATCCTTAGGAAAGGAGATTTATGTATTGCCTTTTACCCTGGCAATATACTTCAATTGCACATCAAAAAGTGATTCACTTTCAATTTTCTTTCCACAAATGGTGTCTTGAGATACTGCCTGACGTCACTTGCATAAGATATCGTAGTATGGCTAGAGAAAAAATGTGTTATATTTAACATGGAGCATGTCTATATTATTCACAGAGTGTTTGTGGGCCGAATTAAAATAAATTGAATGAATATTTTTGCTCTATTGAAAACGTATTGACATATAAATAGTAAGTTTTCTAAGGTCCGTATGATCTAAAATACCGTATGCTGAAAATGGTTGTTAACAGTTTGTTGCTTCTAGGCATATCCTGAATTTAAAAAAAATGTACAGACGTGTGAAACATTAAAATTTCTCTGCAGAGTTTGTTGTGTAGAAAACACAGTACGATGAAAATTGTGTATCATTTTATATAAGCGACTTTGTTTAGTTACCTTTTACACTCGTTGGAACCATTTTACTCGATCAACACTTTGTTTCCTCGCTAGAAGCATGACCTTTTAGAGTAAGATTCTAATGACAGACGGTCCGATACACGGACCGATACGCGGACCGACAGACGGACAATCTTACAGATAGACCGGTAGGCGAACCACCAGTCTGACAGACAGGCAGAGAGACAGACAGAAAGGCAGACAGGCAGACTAACGGTTGCTTTAAAATGTAACTAAGAAACGTATGTTTCTTTAATTGTTCAAATGTTTTCTGCCTAAACTCATTCATAATACTCAGATGATGTGTATCACTTCCACTGCAAATACCGTTGCGTGAGATTACACTGCCCCCCTTGGGTATTGTGTTTATTTCATGTCACTAATATCAAAAGCAAGAATTGCATGACAGTACACAAATAAACTATGGTTTGGGTTATTGTTCATGCGTGAATTAGATAAACACATGAATTATCTCACAAAAGCAAAGACTGCACACTTGCGCGTTCCTACGTCTCGCATGTAATAAAAATTCTCTGAAATGGATATACCACATATTCAAACCGCTAATAATGAATATTACAAAATAGATGGGGATGAAATATTGTTTAAAATATATATTGCAATTTAAAACATTTTGAAACAAAATTATTTATGCACAAACACTGCGCTGATGTAGATCATTCTGGTTATTGGGTTGGGAAACCTAACATTCCGCTGTTGGCAAGCCTAGCCTGTAACTTATTTTCAACAAAATTCATTAGAAAATATGCGCAATTGGCATTTAAATGTTAAAGAGAATAATTAAATGTCTTTTAACCCAAATTTACATTGCTTAGTCATCGACATATAACTTATTTTTGTAATGTAGTTCATTTCACAGCTCTCACACAAATCTTAATAAAAGAGGCGTCAAAACAACGTTTTATGGAGGCGTAACAAAACAGTTTTTAAAACTGTTTTCAGATGAAGATATATCTCGTTACTTATAAAAGGACCTTATATAACATTTTTTGGAGATAGCACTTCAAGATAAAAAAGATAAGTACAGAATTTTGAATTTTCTACATCTCTAATTTCTCGTTAACTCGTTAAATTTTCATGCGACACCTATTTTCTACTTCTTACTCTCTTGCAGTGCCGTGTTAATCAAGAAGTACATTTCATCTCTACCCCCTATCTCTTATCTTACACATTGACAATGATGCATATAAAAGTGTGTAGGATTTGCAACACCGGAATGTTAGAATGGTTAAATGCCAATTAATGAAATCTTAATTAATGCACGACATTGCCAAAGTAAGATCCATGTCCTCTCTTCCTCTAAGGAGTGGGTATATTCAGGAAGCACTTTGGTTCGTGGCGGCACGCTCTGGCATGGAAGCCTTCAGTGTGTGCTGGTGCGGCCACGCAGTGCCGAGTACGGCACAGCACTCTGGGCACGTGCTCGGCCACCATCTTGTGTACTCTTCCAAGTCCTCCTACACAAAGCCGCTGCAGATGTTTGCACTGCAACTCAGCACCTCATCTACACGTTTCCTATTGTGAATTATTCAACTTGGACTTGCTAATTCTGTTGCCTTTCGTCGCTACAATGTTTGGGCATTGGATTATTATAGCGCAACAAGGGTCGTACATTAGAGAAAGAAATCAGCACAAGAAATTAACATAAATAAGATCTAAGGTAACTTGCAAACTTGTTGAACATATGCATGTAGTTGGAATTTTAAGATGGTATTAACACTACTTTCGCCAGGTAGCAGTGTTTGCAGTTCTGAATAATTGTATTTATTATCCACGCCTGCTATATTATCCCTGTGTTATTTATTATCCACACCTGGGGGTAAGGGTGTAATATGGCGAGCATGTCAAATTGCCATGACCGTGTGTAGCTTATTTGGTCTGCCTGAGCTTTTCTTTCACCACACAATTGTAGAAACCGAGAGTATTGTATTGGAAAGATACATCTCTTTTTTTCAACGACATGGAGTCGAATATATGATCGCACCACGGAAAGCTAGAACCTGACCATGAGTCATCTGAGGAACTATATGCTGAATAATTTGGAAAATCTGTAGATAATTCTCATAATCCAATCGCGCCAACTGATCTGTTTCCCCCCACGTTTCGCATGAAATGTCCCGTGTTTCGCATGAAATGCATTCATTAAGGTCTTCATGATTTTGATCGGAACTAACTTTGCATGAGATTCGGCTGTTGGACAATTATTCACGGTACATGAGAAACATGTATTGTATGTCATCTTTCAAAAATTTATTAAAGGGTTAATTTTTCATTCGTGAATCAGATGAAATCATAAACACACGAATAAAACTCGTAGGCACAAACATTTCCTTCTTGGGTATTGCTACATGTGTAAAAGCTTCTTTAGACGGTTACATGAACTGGTAATGGCTGGTAACAACTATTAATTATTGTTAAGTGGATCGTCAGTGAACTGGTGAAAGATAAGAATATTATATTGAACAATTAAATCAGTACAAGGCCACAAGACATCAGAGGACATAGATCGTTCTGGCTTCCGGACGAATACGCCCCATCTGACTTGCATTGCACAAAACATGGTGAAATATGTCGGAAACGATACTGTTGTTCGTGTGCCTAAATTACAAACTGAACAAAATTGACTGAATGATATTGTGTTACTGGTTAGTGAGATTTGAGAAAAACGGTTCGTCGAAAGAAAAGTTTTACTTTTGCACAGGTCACCAAAATATTGAACTTAGAACTATTATTCCTTATAGAAAGAAATATGGTAGTTCTTAGAAGAGCCTAGCTAAGTAAATATTTCAGATATATTCCGTGGAGTTTGTTGGGCCTAACCATATGCTTTAAAACACTCGATCCAGTTTACCAAAACGGCTGTCAAGGCAAAATCTTAAACTTGACTTCATGCCCCATCAAAACACATTGTATTTGTTTTTATTTAAAGAAGAGAAGGAAATACTTAAAGAAATTTCTTGGATAATTGTGACACACAGATACAAAAAATAAAATATTCAAGATAATATATTCGAAATGTCGCAGGATTTTAAGTGGGCCATGAAGCCGTTGCTTTTAGTGTCGGCTGCCTTCGGGTTTGTTCCGTTTCGCTGGAACGGACCAAATGGCCAACTACGTAGAACTCCACTCACATTACTGTGGACATTCATTGTCTTATTCGTGCACTGCATCTTCTTCGTAATTTTATTTGACGAAGAGGTTCTACACAAAGAGATACTAATAGAAGATGCGGTAGAAGCATTTGTCAGTTTGTCGGGCTTAATAGTGCCCATTGCTTCCCTCGTCGTATTTGTAACAAAAGTTACGACATGGAATGATTTCTTGCGTCAGATGTCTAACATAGACGACATTTTATTCTTGGATTTAAACTCAAAAAATATTCAAAGGCGACGAGCTGTGATGTATAATATCTCTGGCTCACTATTATTATGTCTTTGCGAGATTCTCTGCGGTATTTTTGCCTTTGATTATTCTTGGTATGTCACTATAATCTATATACTGACATATTCAACCAATTTTATTTTAACTCTCCAGTATTTAAATCTTGCGTTGTTAATCAAAGATAGGTTCGAACTCATTAATGAGCATATCGCTCAATATTCGCCTGAAGCATCAACAGTGAATATAAAATGCATTGGCTCTGGATCAACTAGTGGTAATACATTAATAATTCATAGTAATCGTTTCTTCTCTTCTCGCTCTGAGCAAAGCAATGAGGATCTTATTCATAGGATACAATCTGCTCATCTGAAATTATCAGAAGCTTGTGATATGCTAAGTGCTGTATATGGCATTCCAATTCTGCTCGTTCTTGCTTCTCTGTGGGCAGAAGCGATGATCAACGTATATTATCTCATTATACCCCAATCTCGGTAAGTTTTATCTGTATACCAATAATATATGGAATAATAAGGATCGCATTTGCGACTAGTGGACAGAGTTCAATAAAAAATTACGGATGGAACCTCGGTTCTCCCGAAGTGACGTACATGTCATTTTCTCTAAGGTATGGTGGCAGCAGAGCGGAACTGCGTGTAGCCCTGTGGTGCACAGTAGCACGAACCGCGCTGGGAGTGCTGAGTGTGTGCTGGGGCGGCGACGCAGCGTCGAGAGCGGCACAGCACACAGGGCGCGTGCTAGGGCGCCATCTGGCGCACCCCACGGCCCGCTTCCACGCAAAGCAGCTGCAG